GCAATTCTTGAAGCGTAGGTCGGAACTGTTGCAATTTGTGCAACATTCTCATTACTCTGTAATAGTGACATCAGTATTGCTCAAGATATTCGGCAGAAGTTGTTTTTGCTATTTTTTTTGTAGTCTGCAGTCATGTTCATTATATCATGCCCAGGCTTTTATTTAGATATTTATCAAAGATTTTATGTAGATATCCAACGAAAACGCAGCAGCAATAGCTGGTCTTCAAGCTGAGCTACGAAAAGAGCGAGAACTTTCCAATCTTTACAAAGAATCTCTAGAAAAGGCCGAGCATGTGGCAGCTGAGATGAGGTAAAATCTGTCTTTGCCAAGTATCTTTTACATTGGCTGGGATTTTGCAGTGAGCAGTGGAAATCGCGTGAAAATCTTTTTGAAGAGACTAAACAAGTCCTAGCTTCAGTTCAGGAAGAAATAGAAGAAGAGAAAAGGCTGAGGAGTTTGGAAGTTGAACGAAAAGGTACTTTTACCTTTGCATATTAGGGTTGATAGATTGTACACACTCATCCAATTCGAATTTAACCATGTCGTTCTTCTAGTTTGCCTTATACAGCAACGCGTCATGTTAGAATGCTACTGCATTTTATAAGTTAATTGTATCCAAATCTTTACAATTGCCCCACTTTTTTAATCGTAAATCAGTGTATAATGTAATCCTAGTTAAACCTTTTCTGAATGTAAAATGTATTGTGCTCTCTAACATGCAAGCTCAGTTTGTAAGCTAATAATCATGTTTCTCTCCTAACTAACCACGAAGTTCTTTTTTGTGTTCTGCAGATGAAGAGATAGCTGAACTTAAAGAAGAATTAGACAAGGCAAATGAACTATTGAAATCGAAGCATGCTGGTAAGTTTTCTTTTCGCGTTTTTTCATCGTTAATGTTGTACTTTTTATTTCATTCTAGTTCACTTAAATGTGAGTGAGGACGAACTTGCCGTTCTTTCACCAGCTGCTGTTGAAACAGCAAGACTACTTCGTGGGGGTCAATCACTAACAAGTATTGTGCGGTTAGTTTATGTCTCCCTGCTAAAGACGATGACATGGATTTGCATGCTAATTCATTCTGTTTTCAAT